ACACCACCATGAGAGGCTAAATTTTTTTCAAACTTTTTGTAGAGACAGAGTCTCCCTATGTTGCCTAGGCTGGCCTTAAACTCATGGACTTAAGTAATTGCCCACCTCAACCTCCCAAAGGGCTAGAATTATAGGGATAAGCCACCATGCCCAGTCAGTTTTATTTATTTATTTCAACAAAGGCCAGGCACGGCAGCATACATCTGTAATCCCAGCACTTTGGGAGGCCGAGATGGGCAGATCACTGGAGGTCGGGAGTTCAAGACCAGCTCATCAACATGGTGAAACCCCGTCTCTACTAAAAATACAAAAATTAGCTAGGCATGGTAGCACATGCCTGTAATCCCAGCTACTCAGGAGGCTGAGGCAGGAGAATCACTTCAACCTGGGAGGCAGAGGCTGCAGTAAACTGAGATGACGCCATTACGCTCCAGCCTGAGTGACAGAGCAAGACTCCATCTCAAAAAATAAAAATAAATAAAAAAGTATGGAGTGATGCTCCTCCTGCCCACTGCCAAGTGTGTCTCTTGGACCAGAAAGGAAGGAAGGGTTAAAACCATGGAAGTGAGGCCAGGTGTGGTGGCTCACACTTGTAATCCCAGCACTCTGGGAGGCTGAGGTGGGTGGATCACCTGAGGTCCTGAGGTCAGGAGTTTGAGACCAGCCTGGCCAACATGATGAAACCCCATCTCTACTAAAAGTACAAAATTAGTTGGGTGTGGTGGCGCATGCCTGTAATCCCAGCTACTTGGGAGGCTGAAGCAGGAGAATAGCTTGAACCTGGGAGTTGGAGGTTGCAGTGAGCCGAGATTGCTCCATTGCACTCCAGCCTGGGCAACAAGAGCAAAACTCCACCTCAAAAAAAGCAAGCAAGCAAGCAAGCAAACAAACAAAAAAGCCATGGAAGTGAAGGTTGTGATTGGAGACCCAGGAATGAGAGTGGTGCTATTCCAAGGACCCATGAATTGTCACCGAAGATGTTTTGCAATGTGACTGGGGTAGGAGTGGGGGTTGAATGTTCTCTGAACAAGGCAAGGCCAGAGTTATTAGCCCCTGAGAACTAAGATCAATGTGAGGACCAGATGGAGTCATTAGAAGGAAAACCATCTCAGATGGTGAAGATTGTTTGAATCAGATTTTTCCATAAAAACCCTGCAAATATAGCCTTTTGGTATTTCTCTCTTCTTCCTTCTCATAGCCCAGACTCCTGGAGATCAGGAGACCAGAGCTCACTCACCTTCCACTATATGTCTGTGGTGAGCAGACACCGACATACCAGAAAAAAAAAGGTATTTGGCTGTAATATTTGCAAGACCCAAGAAGGTACAGGGAATAGATTTTTTTCCATAGAGGGAAGGGGTGGTGTTTTATAAGAAAGAGCACTCTGTCTCAAAAACTAGAAAAAATAAATAAACCAAAATCATTAGAAATACCCAGGGAAGTTGTCAGAAATATAATAGCAGCAGGAAACTGTAATATAACTTTCTTTGACAGACAAAGTAAGAAAAATATACAAGGTGCTGGGCGTGGTGGCTCATGCCTGTAATCCCAGCACTTTGAGAGGCTAAGGCAGGCGGATCATGAGGTCATCAAACTGGCCAGCATGATGAAACCCAGTCTCTATTAAAAATACAAAAAGTTAGCCAGGCACGGTGGCACGCACCTGTAATCCCAGCTACTCAGGAGGCTGAGGCTGGAGAATTGCTTGAACTCGGCAGGCAGAGGTTGCAGTGAGCGGAGATCATGCCACTGCACTCCAGCCTGGGTGACAGAGTGAGACTCTCTCTCAAAAAAAAAAAAAAAAAAAAAAGAAAGAAAAAGAAAAAGAAAAATATACAAAGGTATAAAGGAACAGAGAATCTCAATGATAAAGTTGATTAATTAATTAGCCTCTCATTCAACAAATATGTACTCAATGGTGTGTGCCAGGCCCTTTGCTGGATACCAGAAAGATATCAGCCATAAATATATCATCCGTGAACATCCTGAGCCTCCATTCTCTTGGAGCACGTATTCAAGTGATGTTTATTTAACTTTGTGTCTCATAAATGGAGAACCTAACTTTTTCAATGCCAATAAAACATTTACAAATCTTGTTCAAATATTAGGCTGTGAAGGAGATAAGAAATTCCCTAAACTTGAAGTTGTACTGGACACATACTCAGACCATAATGCAATAAACCAGAAATTTCTAAATATTCAAGTAACAGAAACCAACCTTTTAAAGAATCCCAAAACAGTCCTAAATAATTCTTTGATCAATGAGAAAATTCCCCATTGCATTGCTAAGGTTTGACACAAAGCATCTTATGCATTCAATCAATAGTTACTAAATGAATTATTAAAGAGCAATTTGTATATTAAGCACTTTTATTACAAATTTACTACATGTTCATGGAAGAAAAAATAAGCAGTGCAGCTGAACAAAATGAATAAACAAATCCTTAGTAATCCCCCCACTGGGAGATAACCACATCCTTTCCTAGTGTTATGCAATAGATGTCAGGAATTAGAAAAACCTTATTTTTTGGCCATGGGAGCCGTGAAAAGTTCTGTTTCTCCTCAATCCACCAGACCCACGCTTCCCCTTTCTGGATGTAGGGGGTGAAGCTGAGAGACAAAATGAGGAGGGAGGGTGGAAAGCATAGGGGGAAAGCAATCTGATAAGCAGCTAATGAGTTCCTATAGTATGCTGCCATATGCCCAGCCAGGCTAGACCCTGGGGGATAGAGGTAGCACCCATCCCTTCTGGGTTGACAGTTGAAAGGGTAGATAAGAAATTACAAGTGTGATAATCATGACCAAAGGGGATATGCAAGGTGCTATGAGGGCTTAATGTGGGGAGGGGTGTCAAACCTCATCTGGGTGTCAGGAAATGCTTCCTTTCCTAAGGAAGTGACATTTAGGCTGACACCTACGCTGAGAAAGAATTAGTTGAGCAAGAACATGAGAAGTTCCGGCCAGGCACAGTGACTGATACCTGTAATCCCAGCACTTTGGAAAGCTGAGATGGGTGGATCAACTGAGGCCAGGAGTTCAAGACCAGCCTGGCCAACATGGTGAAACCCTGTCTCTACTAAAAATACAAAATTAGCTGGGCATCATGGCCGGTGCCTGTAATCCCAGCTATTCAGGAGGCTGAGGCAGGAGAATCAGTTGAACCTGGGAGGTGGAGGTTGCAGTGAGCCGAGATTGTGCACTGCATTCCAGCCTGGGTGACAGAGTAAGACGATGCCTCGGAAAAAGAAACAAAGAAAGAAAAAAAAAAACATGGGAAGTTCCATAGTGAGAGAGTGGAACTTTCTTTAGAAACGTCTGGCTGGAGAGTCGACAGGGAAGGAAATGGCATGAAATCAGCCTGCAGAGTTTGGCAGGGACCCATCAGCAGAGCCTTGCAATCTAGACCTAACTGCCCGTTGAACAGAAACTGAAGAAGATAAATGAATACATTAAAAGCCCTGAGGAAGTAATCGGCCAGCTCCAGAGTGAGGAACACTCTATGGGACAAATGATTCCGTGTCTTGTCAAATCAATGTCATGAAATAAGTAAAAGGCAAGGAGGTGTGTTATAAAATGAAAGAGACTTAATCGTAATATCAGCAGGACTTAAATTTTCACCCTAATCTCTTGGTTAAGGTCGTAACTGCCAGGTTTCTCCTCTGTCTTTCCGTTTCTATAAGGCCAGGCCACACTCAAGGGACTGTAAGAGCTAACGGAAGTCACTGCAGGGACTGAAGCAAAGGGGAAATGAGGTCAGATGTCTTTCTTTTTTTGGAGACAGTGTCACTGTCGCCCACGCTGGAGTGCAATGGCATGATCTCAGCTCACTGCAATCTCCGCCTCTTGGGTTCAAATGATTCTCCTGCTTCAGCCACCTGACTAGCTGGGATTACAGGCATACACCACCACACCCAGCCAATTTTTGTATTTTAGTAGAGATAGGGTTTCACCATGTTCATCAGGCTGGTCTCAATCTCCTGACCTTGTGATCCACCTGCCTTGGCCTCTCAAAGTGCTGGAATTACAGGCGTGAGCCACCTCGCCCAGCCCTCAGATGTGTTTTTTGTTTTTTTTTGAGACAGAGTTTTGCTTTGTTGCCCAGGCTGGAGTGCAATGATTCGATCTCGGCTCACTGTAACCTCCACCTCCCAGTTCAAATGATTCTCCTGCTTCAGCCTCCGGAGTAGCTGGGATTACAGGCAAGCACCACCTCACCCGGCCCTCAGATGTCTTTTTTAGGAGGAATACTCTGGCCGCAATGTGGTGATGAGATATTGTGGCGTTTGCAGCGGGAATGGACGTACCTTGAGTGATTTCAGGAGAACAGCTCAGCAGGAGTTATTATTGAATATGAGGTTGTGAGAAAAGGTGGAGTTGGGTAGCTGAGGTCTTTCACTGAATCCAAATCAAGGGTCTGTGTGCTCCCAGGAGGTTGCTTCACCCGCCCCCAGGAAGAAGCCACTTTCTGCTGCCGGGTCTTTCCTTGCCTTGGGGAGGGTCCCTGAGGGTTACTGGGGCTGGAAAGCCACCAGCCAACACAAATTAGGAGAGCCTTGGGATTACCAAGGAGGGTCAAAATCCTCGACTCTGAGTTAAAGAAGGGACAGCCGTGGGGGGGACTGAATGGGGCTGGAGGAATGTAAGTCATCCCTAACTTTTTCTTTTCCGAAGCGGGCAGATCACCTGAGGTCAGGAGTCCGAGGCCAGCCTGGCCAACATGGTGAAACCCCGTCTCTACTAAAAGTACAAAAATTAGCTGGGTGTGGTGGTGGGCGCCTGTAATCCCAGCTCTGGAGGCCGAATGAGGCAGGAGAACTGGAGAGGCGGCGGTTGCGGTAAACCGAGATTGCGTCACTGCACTCCAGCCTGAGCAACAAAAGCAAAACTCTGTCTCAAAAAATAAATAAATAAATAAATAAATAAATAAAATAAAATCTTTCGTTTCCTTCCGGGTTTAATAACCCAATTATGAGCATGTAATCAAAAGGTCAATGACTCAGTGGTGTCAAACAAGTAATTTTATTTACCTTTTCGTGTTTTACCAACCTGTCCTTCCCCTCGGCCCTGAGAGTTTTCACGTTTTCCTTTCGGAGCGTGTTTGGGAGGGGGGACTACTACTGTCTCCGCATTTATCTCCGCCGGCGGGCCCCCCGCCCCGGTTTCTTTTCTCCTCGGCGCCTTCGGGTGCGGGCGGGAGGAACGGAGGGAGTTGGGGACGGCGGTGCGGGGCCGGGAGCCGGGCGGGCCCCGCTCCCTTGCGCAGGCTTGTAAACCAGGTGGAAGATGAAGGCGTTGCAGTACCTGCGGGCCGCGGGGCGCGGTCAGGGGCCAGGGGCGGAGCTCCAGGGGGCGGGGCTTGCCCCTCCGAGTTCCGGGGCGTGGGGCTAGACTCAGGGTTGGCTTTGTTAGAGGGTCGCAGGTGCTTTTGTGGGTTGGGGAGATTCTGCGACCTAGATCTAAAGAGGAGTGTGCTGGGGATTGTCGAGATCTCCCATGGGGGTGACCAGTAGTGGGAGCAGAGAAGGCAGGTTGCTGGGCTGGGGGCAAGAGGGTCCCAGGACGGTGGGGACTAGGGGAGAGGTGGGTCTTTGAGGATGCGGAGCCAGAGAGTAAGAGAAGCGAAAGGTCAGGAAGGAGATAGGGTCGCAGGCCCTTACCAGGGCATGCAGTTGTCGGCCGCTCTGAGGCGAAAGGGGGAGCGGAAGGGGTTGAGCTGGGGACGGCTAGTGCCCCCTCCAGTGGCCACCGCCATGGTCTGGCCGTCCATCACGCAGCCATACTCGCTGCTCTCGGTGAAGAAGGCTGGCACTCGAAGGGACTGGGTGAGGCAAGACTCGCTCTGAGAGGCCCCTCCCAGATCCATCCCAGCAGCCAGGATGACAGACAGGGCTGAAAGCCTAGGCCCCGGGACAGATCTGGTGGGAGGGGGGCAGGAGGAGGCCCGAGGCAGACACAGAGAGGGGCAGAGGGACCCGTGGGCATTCCCCAGGCCTGTGGAGCAGGTGCTGGTGCAGAGGAGAGCCCAGAGACTTTCAGAAAAGGAGATGGGAAGGGGGCAGGCAGGAGGGGAGAGAAGTTCCCGTTTGCCCCCATTGCCCACCTGCAGGCGGGGCAGAGAGCTCAGCCATGTATCCTTGAGACCAAATCCAGAGTTAAATCCTGCAGAGAGGTGGGAGACGCTGGCTCTCATGGTCGGCTTCCCTCCCACCTTCTGCATGTGTCTACCCCTGAGCCCCAGGTTCTTACCAATAACCAGGTCGGGCTTGGGCCCCTGGAGCAGGTGGTAGGGCCTTGCTGACACCTTGATCTGCAGGTCCCTGCGGCTCCCCTTCTCCTTAGTGCCAGAGCTGGGCCGTGCTGATACGCCAGAACCATTCCGGACAGACACCTCAGGGCCATCCTGAGGGGCCAGGAGAGGGATGGAAAAGCCACGGGAAGTCAGGGAACTGGAGGATGTGCCCGCAAGATGGGGAGTCGGGGGCAGAAGGGCAGGGCCCAACCAGAAGATCACTGGAGGGGTCAGGGCTAAAGAGCAGAGCCCCCTCAGCCCTCACCCTCTGCAAGGTAAAATGCTGCTGGTCACTTTCGGGGGGCAGGCCATCACCTACAAACTGCAGCTCCAGGGCCACATGGGGGAGCAGGACCAAGAGCTCCTGGAGGACAGAAAGAAGGACAGATCTGGGTTCTACCCAGTATCCACCCCCACACCACAATGCCCGACCTTCAGTGCTGAGGGGGACCTACCCAAAAAACCATGACAAGGTCAAACTCCTTCCCAGCCTCCACCACGTGGATCTTCAGTGACTGTTTGTTCTGGATGTTAAGCTCAGGGACTGGGTGAGAAACCAGCTCTTTAGGGATGTGGTCTACTCTCACTCCCCCACCTCGCCCACACCCCCCACTCAGCTCTCCTTACAGGACTGGGGCACCAGGTGTGTGATGACGTAGTACACAGTCAGCGGGTAGGTGAGAAGCACAGCCATGGGGGAGTCCAAGCTGAGGCCCCGCCATGTGTAGTAATCCTGCCATGAGCCTGGGAGGAGGGGGTTACTAGAGGACCCGGCCCTGGACCCCACCCCCTCTAGTCTAACAGCCTGCTTCTTCACAGTCACCCAGGCTCTGGTTCTCCAGTCCCTGTCCCTACCCATAGCTCCCACAGGGCCCCTCCACCTCACCAAAAAGACCCCGCGGTGGGTCTGGGGGCACAGGAGGCATTATGGCAGGCCCATCCCCCTGGAGAAGCTGGTAGGGATCTCCTGAGAGGACAAAAGAAAGAAGAGCCTGGGGTCAGGGAGACTCCTCCCACCTGACCCATCCTTCCAAAGGAGCTGTATTCCCTGAGAAAGCTGCAGTAAGAGGAATGGGGGTTTGTGTAGGGACGGGGCTTCTGGGTGGAGTTGGTAGGGGTGACTCCATTGAGGGCTGCGGAAAGGCCTGAAATGGCCCTGGTGCTGTTGGTAGGGGGTCAGTGTGTATGTGGAGGGATTATCTGGGAGGGACCCAGACAACTTCTTCCTAGTCCTTCCCTCTAGGCCGAGGGGCCCATGCCTGAAGACAGACCCCACGCACCACCGAGAAGAAGGCTAAGGGATGGCATGTTGCCTCGGGGATGCCCGGAGGAGCCAGGCCCTGGAATCAGCATGCTGAGCTGGGTCCAGTAGCCACGAGTGAGGCCCCGAGAGGCCAGGAAGGCCTCCTTGTTGAAGGTTTCACTGGTCACCTCTGGAGAAGGAGAAGGGGATGAATTGAGGCGCTGGGCTAGCGCCCACTTTTCTTTTTCCTTTTTTTTTTTTTTTTGAGACAGAGTCTTGTTCTGTTACCCAGGCTAGAGTACAGAGGCATGATCATGGATCACTGCAGCCTCCACCTCTTAGGCTCAAAGGATTTTCCCATCTCAGCCTCCCAAGAATTGTGACTACAAGCCTGCGCACCATGCCTGGCTAATTTTTTCTATTTTTTTGTAGAGACAGAGTCTCTGTTGCTCAGGCTGGTCTCAAACTCCTGGGCTCAAGTTAGCTTCCCAATGTGCTGGGATTACAGGTGTGAACCGTTGCCTGGCCTAGAACCCCAGACTAACTCTCCTCAGCCTCCTCTAAGGACTCTGGATCTAAGTCTGGTTCCAGTCAGGCAGGAAACTACCATTTCTGAGGGTCTCCAGTGTCTCAAGCATGAAGCCCACATAATTCTTGTGACAATTCCACGGGCCTTTACATTTGTTAGCATCCCTCTTTTGCAGATGAGGAGATGGAGGCTCCAAGAAGTAAAGTGATTTTTGTTTTTTTATTTGAGATGGAGTCTCACTCTGTCGCCCAGACTGGAGTACAGTGGCGTGATAGCTCACAGCAACCTCAGCCTCCCAGGTACAAGTGATTCTTCTGCCTCAGCCTCCCGAGTAGCTGGGACTACAGGTGCGCACCACCACGCCTGGCTAATTTTTGTATTTTTAGTAGAGACAGGGTTTCACCATATTGGCTAGGCTGGTCTTGAACTCCTGACCTTGTGATCTGTTTGTCTCAGCCTCCCAAATTGCTGGGATTACAGGCGTGAGCCACCATAACAAAACAAATCACTGTAAAGTGATTTGTTTAAGGTCACACTGCCAGTTAGTGGTGGAGCTTGGAAGCAAGTAAGTATTTGAATCCCTATCCCTAATCCCTGCACTCTCTTGGTGACCTAGACATTCAGTCCTTGGCTTCAGAGACCCTGTCTCCAGCCCCAAACATCCAGCCCCTGCCTTTATTCCAGGGATCTAGGCTCTAGCCCCAGACACTCAGCCTTCGACTCCAGGACCCTGTTTCCAGACATCTTATTCCGTTTCCCCCCCGCCCCCCAAGATGGAGTCTTGCTCTGTCTCCCAGGCCAGGGTGTAGTGGCACAATCTCAGCTCACTGCAACCTCCGCCTCCCGGGTTCAGGTAATTCTCCTGTCTCAGCCTCCTGAGTAGCTGGGATTACAGGCATGCCCCATGCCTGGCTAATTTTGAATTTTTTTTTTTTTTTTTTTGAGACGGAGTTTCACTGTTCTTACCCAGACTGGAGTGCAATGGCATGATCTCGGCTCACCGCAACCTCCACCTCCTGGGTTCAAGCAATTCTCCTGCCTCAGCCTCCCGAGTAACTGGGACTACAGGCGCACACCACCATGCCCAGCTAATTTTTTTTGTATTTTTAGTAGAGACGGGTTTCACCTTGTTGACCAGGATGATCTCGATCTCTTGACCTCGTGATCCACCCACCTCGGCCTCCCAAAGTGCTGGGATTATAGGCGGGAGCCACCGCGCCCGGCCTTAATTTTGAATTTTTAATAGAGATGGGGTTTCAACACGTTGGCCAGGCTGGTCTCAAACTTCCGACCTCCTGATCCACCTGCCTCGGCCTCCCAAAGTGCTGGGATTACAGGTGTGAGCCACTGTGCCTGGCCAGACATCTAATTCCCAGTCACAAAGACCCGATTCCAGTTTTCCCCAACAATTCTGACCTCCTTATGGTACCTGTGGTGTAGGTAAAAGGCAGGGCTGCCAGTTCTCCTGCCCGCTCCACGAAGGCTGCAAGCTTTGGGCACCAAAATCGGTGGCTCACATCGTCTGGGCACCGCTGCCAGTCAGCCTGGAGACAAGCCTCTCCACAATACAAGACAGCACTACACTGGGGGCTGGGGACACAGTGGGTGGTGGGCACCCAGTGTTAGCCTCTGTAGGGCCTGTCTGCTGTCCGTCTGCCCAGTAGCTGCCCCTGTGTCACTCCATCTGTTGTCTTACACCCTCTAACTGCCTGTAACAGCCCATATTGTTTCCTCTCCATCTTCTCATGTCCCTGTCCCTCCTTCTGTCTGTCTGCTAGGCACCCCCCACCGGCCTGCTTTCTATTTGCCTGACTGTTGGGGTCTTCCTCTGCCCCCAGCTTTGGGGCTGCTCACCAGGGTGTCAGCTTCACTTCAAAGCTGTGCCTGTGACAAACGTGGCAGGTTCGAGCACGAAGGGAAGCAAAGGTGAAGCCTGGTCGGGGACCCCATGTCCGCATTGGGGTCTTGGCTAACTTCACACCTAGCCTTGGGACCAAGCTCTCCAGCTCTCTAAATAGGGATGGAGATGGTAGCAGGCTGGAGGGGTGCTTGGGTATCCAGGGCCCCAGCCCTCCCCAGCCTCAGATATCAGATTTCTGTACCGATGCAGCCGGGCATCTCCCACAGTAAGCTGTCGGGGCTTTCGGGGGTCCCCGGAGCCCATGGGACAGGCCATGCTGTGACAGAGGAGCACATAGGCCCGAGGAGCCAGGTTCTCAGTCCCTGAGCCCCAGCTTCCAGTCCCCTGGGCTCCATCCACCAGCAGATCAATGCCCAAGATGGTGCCATGCTCATCCGTCACCAGTAAGAGACAGGAAAGGTGCAGGGGGGCAGCCTCTGGGGAAAGAGGGAAAAGTTGAAGCGGTAGGGTGCAGCAAGAGACAAATACGGTCAGAGTCAGGAGTACCGAACTCAAATACCTACAGGGGCTAGGCAAGTAACCTCACTGAGCAAAGGCCACTGGGGAGAGAGAGCATGCTCCTTCTTTTCTTTTTTTCGAGAGGAAGTTTCACTCTTGTTGCCCAGGCTGAAGTGCAATGGCAGGATCTTGGCTCATGGCAACCCCTGCCTCCTGGGTTCAAGTGATTCTCCTGCCTCAGCCTCCTGAGTAGCTGGGATTACAGGCATGTGCCACCACACCCAGCTAATTATGTATTTTTAGTAGAGATGGGGTTTCTCCCTGTTGGTCAGGCTGGGCTCGAACTCCTGACCTCAGGTGATTCACCTGCCTCGGCTTCCCAAAGTGCTAAGATTACAGGCGCGAGCCACCATGCCCAGCCAAGGGCATCTCCTTCTAAAGGGGACAGCTGCTATACAGGACCAGAATACACTGCTGTACAGAAATGTGGGCCCACTGCCAGAGTTTGAGATTTTTCTTGGGAATGTGTAAATCCAGACTTCTGGATACTTTTTTTTCTTGCGATGCTTAAACATTAAATTAAAAACAAAAACAAAAACAAAAAACCACTGTGGGTCAGTAAAAACACCTTTTCAGGCCAGATTGGCCTGAAGGCCAGCACTCAGAACTAGTGGCAGGGGAGGGCTTCCAAAGGAAGGATGGCTGGGCAGGGGGTGGGGCTGGGCCAGCCCTGGGTTCTTACCACTCCTCAGTCCCTTCCTCTTCTGGGGTCTTGTTTTGTCCTCCGCCCTGTTCTCTCGGCAGCCATCCTCACCACCTCCTGCCTCCTGCTCAGCCTCCTCTGACTCTCCTGGAGGGTTTACTTCCTGGGGGGACTCCCTGCTGGTAGGGGCTAGCTCCCGATCCTCCTCTGGTTCCACCTTCTCTGTGCCTGCACCCCTCTCCTCTCTCTTCTTTTCTTCTTCATCTTCCTCCTCTTCCTCCTCCCCTTCCTCTCCATCCTCTAGGCTGACAAAGCTGATGTAGGGGCTCAGGTCTCGAAGGTGGAGTGGAGGGTCGTCTCCCAAGAGTCGGGCAGCCCCCAGGCCTGGTCCAGGCCCTGGCTCTGCCCCTTGCCCCAGGCTGATGCCCACACTACGGTTGTGCAAGACATGGAGCGCCCAAAGGGCAGGGTCCTGGGGCAGCCTTCTGATCCGGGCCTCCAGCTGTCGCCAGCGGCCCTCCAGGCTGGTCCCTACAGCCCCACGCTCTGCTACAAACTTTCGGAACCAGCCAAACAGAAGGGCAGCGAAATCAAGGAACTCATCCCGGTATCCAGACACAAACTCCATGTCTTCAGGGACACAGGGCCCCGGCCCAGACTGAGCAAAGGAAGGGATATATGGTGAGGGACACGGTAGCAATGAGAGGGTTTGGGGCTGGGTCACAAACTGGAGAAGAGGGTAGGTAAGAGTCACTTAGGGTTGGATCTGTGGATAGGTTAGGAGCCAAGAAGAGGGTTTTCAGGGCTGAGGATGGGAGTTCAGGGAGGAAAATGGGGGCAGGACTTGAAACTGGGTGACCACGGTTGGAGAAGACTACTCAGGGATGAGATGGTATTTGAGGCTTAAAATTGGAGATTTCAGACCCTCAAAAGTATAGAGTTTAAATGAAGGCTAGAGATGAGAGAGGGCTAATTCTATCGGGACGGGTTTGGCGAGGAGGGAAGCATTTTGGATGCGTCTGTGGGGCATGGGAGTGGGAGAGGGTTTGCCCTGGGCTCGGATTGGTGCGTCGGGGAACCCCGGTAGGCATAGCCCCTCCCGGCCGCCCCACTCCTCCGGTACCTGCAGCCGCTGCCACTTTTCAAAGGTAAATACCGCGGGGTGGAGGGTGCGCGGGTCGTGACGTCAGGGCTGCCCGAGGCCCGGCCGGCTCAGCGGGCGGTCACGCCCCCCTGCCCCAGCACTGAGCTCGGTGCGTCCGCGTGTGGCGGCCCCGCAGGGCGCGCGGCCGGGGCTGGCGGCGGCTCCCTCCACCGCGCCACCCCGAGGCTCATCCAGCTCTGCTGGGTCCCGCGGCGCGGGAGCGGGGAAGTGAAAGTGCCTTGGAGGAGGAGGGCCAGGGCAGCCGTGACCCGCTTCTCAGGCCCACGGGAAAGTGGGGCGGGCGGAGGGGCTGGGCTCCTGAACCCAACCGAATCGGCTCCTCGGGCCGCCGTCCTCCCGCCCCGCCTCGCCTAGCCAGCCTCAGGAGTGTTCTTTCGGTTTCTTCTGAGATTCCTGGCGGTCCCTCTATGGAGCTCGAGCCCAGTGCGGGGGCACAGGGCGCGGGTGCTCCACCTCCCGGACTTTCCCAGCGGCCTGAGGCTGGCGCGGCGCGGGCCGGGTGAGGAGCGCACGGTCAGGGCGCAGCGGGGTAGCGGGGCGCCGCCGGCTCTCGCCTCCTCCCTAGACGGGACGTGGCGTCGACTGCCGCGGTCTCCTCCGACCCCTGGCGAAAGCCATTGAGAAACCAGCTGGACGTCACGCGCCGGAGCCTGTCTGGGAGTCAGAGCTAGGCGGCTCCATCTCCGCAGCTTCCGCGGATCCCCGAGATGCGGCCGGCCTGGGGAGCCGGGTCCCTCGCGCTCCTGCTCCGGCTCCTCCAGCTCGCCTACCTGACTCTGCCAGGTTAGCCGGGGGTGGGGCAGGGGACTCAGATCCCCAAGTCAAGGGAAGGGGGTGAGTTGGGGAGGGGGCACGAGGCCCACGGAGTTGGGTTGATGAAGGCAGCGGGAACAGAGGAAAGCCAGCCTGCCATCTGGGGTTGGGGACCGCGGCCGGGGGACATCTGGCTTCCTGCGGGATTATGGACGTTGTGGAGGGCGTGATGATGTGTGGGTTGAACCTGGCGCTCTGCCCCTGGGCTTACGGGAGAGGCTGTAATGAGACAGTGGATTGGAGGCCAGGGAACAGCGGAGTGGAGACTCCGGGTTTGGGAACGGGTTCCGACGACCTGTCTCGCTCAGGCAATGGCAACGAGGGCAGCGTCACTGGAAGTTGTCACTGTGATAAAATAATTTCTTCGGACTCCCCGCCATCGGCTCAGTACATACATCATCTTCGAAAACATCTGAAATCTTACCATCACTGTCCGCGCTACATCAGGTAATTTTCTCTGCGACGGCAGCGCCTGCGCCGTCCCTCCTTGCCAGGTGCCTCCAGGACCCTCTCCGGTCAAACCTGGACTCCTTCCCGGCGCACTGCGCCCCATCTCCAGGTTGTTTGCTCCCATACCCCGAAACTTCATTACTCCGACGCACCTACCGGGGAATTTCCCAGCCCCAGGAGAAAGGGCTCTTTCTTGGTGGCGACTTCACGCCTCTGGAATGAGGAAGGAGCTGGGGAAGGAAAGGAGGAGCCGCAGCTAAGCCCAGGTCTCTCCCCTGCAGGTTCCAGCTGCCTCTCCGAAGCGTGTGTGGGAGCAGCAAGGACCCATGGGTTCAGGAATTGAAGGGCTGCCTTGATCGGAGAGGTAAGACTTCCCCGCTGCTCTTCAGGCTCTGCCCCCATGGCTTAGTGGCTTCCACCTGACAGTTTTCTTTACCTGAACCTTTTCCCCTGGGACTGCACATTCTTAGAACCTTCTTCCGATCCTGTCCAAAGCACTTAGACTCTAGTCCCTGTTTCCCAAACAGGGTAATCATTCACCATCACCTTCATGATTTTTGCCAATTCATTCTACCACATGTGCTATTGTCTATTTATTGATATTTTTCTTGGAATGAAAGTACTATTTTTCTTTTCCAATATTTTATGAAAATTCAGACATATGTAAAAGTTGAAAGAATGGCACAGTGAATATCCAATGCCTCCACCTAGATACTACAATTTTATTTATATATGTATATTTTAAATATTTACATAAACAAATATATATTTTACAATATCAGTCTTACAGCACTGACATGACATTTGCTTTACTGCGTATCCATCTATTCATCCTTCTGTCCATCATCAATCACCTTGTTTCTGGATGCATTTCAAGGCAGGTTGCAGGCATCATTGTGCTTCATTCCAAAACATTTCAGCATGTATATTAAGTAGCGTTCAATATTAACAATTTTTTTCTTTTGAGTTCAAATTTACATACAGTGAAATGAATTACTTTTAAGTGTGCACAAACCAGTTTTGAAAACTTAAATAGAAGTTGGGCACGGTGGCTCACGCCTGTAATCCCAGCACTTTGGGAGGCTAAGGCAGTGGACCACCTGAAGTCACGAGTTGGAGCCCAGCCTGACCAACGTGGTGAAACCTCGTCTCTACTAAAAATACAAAATTAGCTGGGCATGGTGGCACGTGCCTGTAATCCCAGCTATTCAGGAGGCTGAGGCAGGAGAATCACTTGAGCCCTGGAGACAGAGGTTGCAGTGAGCTGAGATCACGCCATTGCACTCCAGCCAGGGCAACGAAAAAAAAAAAAGAAAATTTAAATAGCAAATTATCCTAAGCAATAACCTCTGTGAAGTCACAAGTTTAACGCACTGGTTGTCTTTTTCTCCTAAAATAAATATACGACCATTAAAATACTAAAGGTTGTTCCATGAGCTAGCTAAACTTTTGTAGGATCAGCATCACCCATACTGCCTTTAGGTCTGTCCAGACCTGTATGATTTCCTTTAATCCTCCCAGCTACCCTGGCCCTTGGTACTACAATTATCCTCATTTTACAGCTAGAAGAAATCAGTTTCAGAGAAGTTGGAGACAAGGAGTGAGGTTATACAGCTACTGGAGGTTTCAAAGCTACTTGAGGTTACACAGCTACTTTACAGCAGAGCCAGGACTCCAGCCTTGGTCTCCGGACTTCCCAGTTTATGACGAACACTTGTCTTGTGATTTGCTCACTTCCTTGTTCCCTGCCTTTTCTCTCTGTCACCGCCTTCCTCTTCCGGCTTTCAGCTTGATATTCTCCCTGACTCACTCCTCTTCCCTCTGTTGGAGCTCAGAACACGATACCCCAAAACATGGTACCTTGGTAATTAAGAAAACAGCAGATGTAGGCCAGGTGCAGTGGCTCACGCTTGTCATCCCAGCACTTTGGGAGGCTGAGACGGGCAGATCACCTAAGGTCAGTAGTTTGAGACCAGCTTGACCAACATGGCGAAATTCCATCTCTACTAAAAATACAAAAAAAAAATTTACCTGGGTGTGGTGGCACACACCTGTAATCCCAGCTACTCGGGAGACTGAGGCAGGAGAATTGCTTGAGCCCGGGAGGCAGAGGGTGCAGTGAGCTGAGACCACGCCATTGCACTCCAGCCTGGGCAACAAGAACGAAACTCAGTCTCAAAAACAAAAATAAACAAACAAGCAAACAAAAAACCAGCAGAAGTAAGTAGCTCACTCCGCTCTTTCCATTTTTCTGTGAAATCTGGCCATAAAGGAATTCTATGACTTCACCTGGAAGTAGGTCATAAGGCCGCCATTTCAGAGGGGTCCTGCCCTATACTTGGAAGCCAAGAATAATCTTGACAGGCCTTGCTGTCCCCCCAAAGCTGCCATTTATTACCATTAGATCCTACTCTTTTCGTCCAATCATACGTTTTTGTTTTTGTTTTTTTCTGAGACGGAGTTTCGCTTTTGTTGGCCCAGGCTGGAGTACAATGGTGCAATCTTGGCTCAAGTCAACCTCTGCCACCTGCGTTTAAGCGATTCCTGCCTCAGCCTCTCGATAGCTGGGATTACAGGCACGCACCATCACGCCTGGCTAATTTTCGTATATTTAGTAGAGATGGGGTTTCTCAGTGTTGGTCAGGCTGGTCTCCAACTCCAGATCTCAGGTGATCCACCCGACAAAGCCTCCCAAAATGCTAGATTACAGGTGTAAACCACCACACCCAGCCTACTTCTTTTTTTTTTTTTTTTTGAGACCGAGTCCCACTCTGTCACCCAGGCTGGAGTGCAGTGGTGTGATCTCAGCTCACTGCAACTTCCTGGGTTCAAGCGATTTTCCTTGAGTAGCTGGGACTATAAGCGCCCGCCACCATGCCTAATTTTTTGTATTTTAGTAGAGACAGGGTTTCACCATGTTGCCCAGGCTGGTTTTGAACTCCTGACCTCGGTGATCCACCCGCCACAGCCTCCCTAAGTGCTGGGATTACAGACATGAGCCACTGCACCCAGCCTGTCCGATCATATTTCTATACAATGGTCCATTCTTCAGCAAGCCTAAGCATAAAAATACACTTTTTCCTGGGTCTTTGAGTCTTCCTTTCTGAAGGTTCCTATGTGATATAAAACGTAAATGAAATAAACATTAGGCTTTTCTCTTGTTAATGCTTTTTGTTGATAGGGGTATTAGCCTTGACCGTTGTCATGCGTGAGGAAAAGATACTACTTTTTCTCCCCGACACTTCTGTTTTTTCGTGTTGTCCCCTAATGGTCCTGATTCCTCATTTATTTCCTCTTCAGAATGTGGACATGCTTACTTGGGGAGTGCAGCCCACCGGGAGCATTTGCCTCCTACCAGCCCCCCTACTTCTCGGGCCTCAGAGGGGACAGCTTCAGATATCCGTACCCCTGCCCAGATGCTCCTGTCCACCTTGCAGCCCACTCAGCAGCCCACCCACCCACCAGAATCACTATCCTTGGACGAAGAGCTCACCCATCCCAGTGAAACCACCATTCCCACTGCGGGCCACAGTCTAGGAGTTGGATCTGAGGCTGGGGAGAACCAGAAGCGGCTGGAAAAAGCACCTGATCCTGCAGCCGGGACATCAGCCATAGCACCGGTGCTGTCCCTCCTGGCCATAGTCTTCATCCTCACAGCAGCACTTGCCTATGTGCTATGCAAGAGGAGGACGAGGCAGTCACCACAGTCCCCTCCAGGTAAACTGGACCTCTGAACCCTTCCCCCTGGGACCCCGAGCCTTCCTGACAGGGATCCTGACCCAGTAGCTCTCAGGTGGCTGAAACCCTGGCCTCGGCACTCAAGTATCAAGGTTGTCTGCACAGGTTGACTGCAGGCCCTCTGAGGCCAGTCAGCCAGGGACTATAGAGAGTGGAGAGGGAAGGAAGCGACCATGGGCACAAGGACTAGTGCTTAGAGCAACATCATGGAGAAGATGGCTAGAGCAAGCTAGTGGGAGACAAAGCTGTGGAGGGAGGTGAGGGCCAGTCATTCAATTCACAAATTTTCACTGAGCACCTACTGTGGGCCAGGTCACAGGGTTAATGTCTTGAAGTCTGATTCCCTAGTTCTAGCTATCATCCCCCCATCACTCTCCTTGATCTCAGAGCTCATTTCTCAATTTATTTATCCTTTCCAGATCTGCAGCTCTATTATACACCTGTGGCACCTGACTCTAATATCTGAGGTGAGAATGTGAGCTTGTGAGGGTAAATTGTGGTTTACTTTCATAAAAAATATAATAAATGAGACCAATCACTAATAACATGGTAGGCACTGTATACATACTTGTGTTTTTCTGTTTTTAGAGATGGGCTCTCACTATGTCGCCCAGGCCATTCTGGAACTCGTTGTCAAGTGATCCACGCACCTTGGCCTCCTGAAGTGTGAGGATTATAAGTGTGGCCTACCACATCCACCCTACATGTATTCCCTCTGTTGGAGCTCCAAACACAACACCTCAAAACATGGCACCTTGGTAATTAAGAAAACAGCAGATGTAGGCCAGGCGCAGTGACTCACGCCTGTAATCCCAGCACTATAAAAAATAGAGAAAATTAGAAATTTTTTAAAATTAAAAAAAATTTAAAAAGGTTATACTATAAAATCTGCTTTTTATACTGGGTGATAATAACTTGGACAAATTCTATATGTATGTTCCTTCAGTTTTTTTGGTTTTTTGAGACAAAGTTTCACTCTTGTTGCCCAGGCTGGAGTGCAATGGTGCGATTTCGGCTAACCTCTGCCTCCCAGGTTTAAGTGATTCTCCTGCCTCAGCCTCCCAAACAGCTGGGATTACAGGCTTGTGCTACCGCGCCCAGCTAATTTTTTGTATTTTTAATAGAGAGGAGGTTTCACCATGTTAGCCTGGATACTCTTCATCTCCTGACTTCGTGATCCGCCAGCCTTGGCCTCCCAAACTGCTGAGATTACAGGTGTGAGCCACCGCGCCCCACCTGTGTTTTTTTTTTTTTTTTCTTTGAGATGGAGTCTCGCTCTGTCTCCCAGTCTGGAGTGCAGTGGTACAGTCTTGGCTCACTACAACCTCTACCTACTGGGTTCAAGCAATTCCTGTGCTTCAGCCTCCCAAGTAGCTGGGATTACATGTGCCTGCCACTTCACCCGGCTAATTTTTGTATTTTTAGTAGAGGCAGGGTTTCACCATGTTGGCCAGGCTGGTCTCGCACTCCTGACCTCAAGTGATCTGCCCGCCTCGACTTCCCAAAGTGCTGGGATTACAGGCGTGAGCCACCGTGCCTGGCCCTATGTGTTTTTTTAACTACTAAAAATTATTTTTATAATGATTGAATCTTCTTTACCGAGACAACTGGCCTCAGGCCCTTGTACCGCTACCGTGATTCCTGGGTTCAGCTTTTTTTGCTGATGGCTCCCCGTCATCCCAACTCTCCCACTATACCAGTTGTTCCTCCTCCAACTCAGCCTTCTCCTGCTTCCTTCCCTAGCCCTGCAATGAAGGCCTGGGCTTTCCCACCCTCCCTCCTTAGCAGGTACTGTGCTGGGATGCCATCTGGGCTCGTCTTACTTCCTTAGTCCCTTGCATACCCCAGTAAGAGACTGATCTTCTTTTTATTGTTGTTGCTTTTATTATTAAAATTCTAGTTCTTATTTTGTCTCTCCCAGTGAAGAAGAATGTATCTTCATTAGGCCAAGTCTGCTCGAAGCCTGGGGCAGGAGCATGAAGTGTTTGAGGAAGTGGGTTGGATGTGTGAGTTTCTATCTCTGTCTGAGCCTGTCAGGGTGTTGGTGGAGTGCAGGGCAGGAGCACCCTGCTGGAGAGGCCAGGAGCACCCTGCTGGAGAGGCCAGGGCATAGCTGTGGGCAGGCTCAGGCTTCAGTTTTTCCATGCCTACCATTTGCCCCTTTGTCTCCAACGGAGTTTCACGAAGTTGGCCAGGCTAGTCTCGAACTCCCGACCTCACATGATCCTCCAGCCTTGGCCTCCCCAAGTGTACTTTGAGCAGCAGGGCATGTAGGTGCCCATGCTCCCCATCCTACATGTTCCCAGGTTCTGTCCCATGGTGCAGGCGATGGTCTCCCTCTGAGCTCTGGGTCCACCTCCCTGGCCTAGTTCTCCAGCATCTGCTCACAGGTTCGAGCCACGTCACTGAGCTTGAGGCGGGCATAGTCCACTCGCTTCAAAGCCATCTGACAGTCCTTCCTTGAAGAGTAGCTGGAGCCCTCATGGGGCTGCCCTGTGGCCACCTATAAGACAAGACTATCAATGGAGCACCATCTCCTTTGCCATTACTCCAACCAGACATCAGATCTCGTCTCATTTCTTCCCTGAGTTTGAATTTGTTATGCCGCCTGGTAGCTGGGGCATTACAGACAAGATTAGCATAAGTTAAATGATTTTTTTACTTATGCTAATCTTGTCTGTAAAAATGGGGGTAATGATAACTGCTTACTAGAGTTGTTGAGGATTAGATAAAATAATGCAGAGTATCTGGCACACCGCAAGTATTAGTAAATGGCAGTGGTCCCTGTGAAGACTTCAGAATGTTCTCAATCCTGTCCCTCTTCTCAGGATAGAAGATCTGGGGTCCAAGTGTAGTGGCTTATTACGCCTGTAATCCCAGCACTTTGGGAGGCTGAGGCAGGCAGATCATGAGGTCAGGAGATCGAGACTATCCTGGCTAACACGGTGAAACCCCGTCTCTACTAAAAATACAAAAAATTAGCCGGGCGTGGTGGCGCACACTTGTAGTTCCAGCTACTCCGAAGGCTGAGACAGGAGAATTGCTTGAACCAGTGAAGCAGAGGTTGCAGTGAGCCAAGATTGCGCCACTGCACTACTCGAGCCTGAGCAACAGAGCGAGACTCAGTCTTAAAAAAATAAATAAATAAAAATAAAAACGTATCTGGGACCTCGATCAGGCTGTTTCCAATGACAAAGTTCTGTAGTTGTAGTATTATTTACAAGCCTTCACCCAGGCACATGTGATGTTAACCCAGTGAGGTATGCAGGGCTGCCTTTAATTCTTTCCTTTAATTATTATTATTATTATTTTTGAGACAGAGTTTTTGCTTTGTTGCCGAGACTGGAGTACAATGGCATGATCTTGGCTAACTGCAACCTCTACCTCCTGGGTTTAAGTGATTCTCCTTCCTCAGCCTCCCGAGTAGCTGGGGCTATAGGTGCCTTTCACCAAACCCGGCTTTTCTTTTTCTTTTTCTTTTTTTTTTTTTTGAGACAGAGTCTCACTCTGTTGCCCAGGCTGGAGTGCAGTGGTGCAATCTTGGCTCACTGAAACCTCTGCCTCCCGGATTCAAGTGATTCTCCTGCCTCAGCTTCCCGAGTGGCTGGGACTGCAGGCGTCCGCCACCACGCCCAGCTATCTTTCTTATTTTCAGTAGAGACAGAGTTTCACCATGTTGGCCAGGCTGGTCTTGAACTCTTGATCTCAGGTGATCCACCCACCTTGGCCTCCCAAAGTGCTAGGATTACAGGCATGAGCCACCACACCCGGCCACTTCTTTCCTTTTAAAGGAAGAAACTGGCTCTGGACGGCTGGGGAGGTCTGGTCCTGCCCAGTTAATGCTCCACGCGGGATGAACTAAGGCTAAGGTTTTGGTCCGCTCGCAGCACCTCCCAGACACACCCACCTGGGTGAGGTAGCGGATCTGGGCTGACAGCTCCGCCTCCACGTGTTGCACTGAAGCGGTGAAGGCCGCCGCCTGCCGGTCTAGAAGCCGCTCGTTGGTTTTTTCCTTGGACAATTCTAGGATCACCGTACCTGCCAAGGCGGAGAGGGGGCGGGGACACCCGGAGACAGCCAGTGTAGCCCCGCCCCAGGGCCAGCCCTTCTAAGTCCCGCCCTTTCGCTGAGCACGCACGTAGGAGAATTCCCTCCCCAACCCTTCTCCAAGTGCCCGGTCAGCCTGTGGGTGCAGCTCGGCCTCGTTTTCGCTCCCCGCCGTCCGGGTCGTCGCATCCCGAACCTGCATTCTGAAGGATGGCGCCGATTTCCCGTTCGATGTCTTCCAGGGCGCGTAGTCGCTCATTCGCCAGGCTGTAGGTAGCCATTGTCGCTCGGGGAATCCTCCTCAGGAGTTTCTCCTGAGAAACGCAACGCTTGTTCCGGAAGTGGCTAATCGGTGTGCGCCTGCGCAGAGGGCACCGTGCAGCAAGCACTACGATTCCCAGGGTGCTCAGCGCAGCCTCGCCCTCTCAGTTCACCTGGTGAACTACAACTCCCAGGCTCCACTGCGCCTCGGCCACGGGACCACCGGCAGTCAGAGGTGACAATGAAATATCCTCTCACCCGAGGCCGTTTAGACCTGTCCACCTTGTTAACACCGTCTGTGGCCTCTATTTAGTTTATTCTACACGAGTTTATTTATTTATGAGACAGAGGCTCACTGTCTCCCAGGCTGGAGTGCAGTGGCACGATCTAGCGCACTGCAACCTCCACCTCCTGGATTCAAGCGGTTCTCCTGTCTCAGCCTCCCGAGTAGGCCCGCGCCACCACGCCCGGCTAATTTTTGTATTTTTAGTTGAGACGGGGTTTCACCGTATTGGCCAGGCTGGTCTCGTACTCCTGACCTCAAGGTATCCGCCCGCCTTGGCCTCCCGAAGTGCTGGGATTACAGATGTGAGCTGAACCTTAAAGGTTAACTACATGGATGACAGCTTGTAGTGGAAAAGGGAGACGGCATAGGCAAGAGGTATGGTGCTGTGACAGCCCCCAACACATGCGGAGTCCAGCAAGGAATTCCGTCTGTCTGGAGTGACTAGTGTGTGCTGGTGGTTAGGTGTGACAATGGCGAGCCTGCGGGTAGGAGCAGAATGAGGAAAAGGCTTGCAAGCTAAGTATTTTGGGCTTGAATCTGAAGGCCTTTGGTAGCCTTTAAAGGGTTTTTACGAAGTGTTATGACCAGAATTACCTTTTTTGGAAAGATCACTGGTAACAGTTTATACAGGATTATCAAGAATGAAACCAGTTTGCCCAAGGTTAGCAAATGAAGGTTAGACACGGTTAAACCGAATGGTCTAGCCTGGGCTATGTAGTGAGATACTGTCTTTACAAAAGCATTTTGGGGCTGGGCATGGTGGCTTATCCTGTAATTTCAGTTCTATGGGAGGCTAAGGCGGGAGGATTGCTTGAGCTAAGGACTTTGAGACCAGCCTGGGTAATATAGAGACCCCGTTTCTCTCTCTCTCTGTCTCTCTTTTTTCTTTTGAGAGGGAGTCTTTCTTACTTCGTCGCCCAGGCTGGAATGCAGTGGCACGACCTCGGCTCACTGCAACCTCCGCCTCCTGGCTTCAAACAATTCTCCTGCCTCAGCCTCCCAAGCAGCTGGGATTACAGGTGCCTGAAACCATGCCTGGCTAATTTTTGTATTTTAGTAGAGACAGGGTTTCACTATGTAGGTCAAGCTTGTTTCAAACTCCTGACCGCAAATGATCTGCCCACCTTGGCCTCCCAGAGTGCTAGGATGACAGGCGTAGGCACCACGCCCAGCTTTTGACCCCCCCATCTTTTATATTTAAAAAATAAAAATATAAGCCAGGCGTGGTGGCTCAAGCCTGTAGTCCCAGCACTTTGGGAGGCTGAGGTGGGCGGATCAACTGAGGTCAGGCGTTCCAGACCAGCCTGACCAATACGGTGAAACCCCATCTTTAAAAATAAATAAATAAATAAATAAAAATAAAAATATTAAAAAAATTTTAAAAATTAGCCAGGCTTGTTGGCTGATGCCTGTATTCCCAGCTTCTTGGGAGGCTGAGATGGTAGGATTTCTTGAGTCTGAGAGGTCAAGGCTGCAGTGAGCCATTGATTGTGCCACTGCACTGTAGTCTGGGTGACAGAGCGAGACCCTGTCTCAAAAATAAAAAAACTACCATCCTGGTCAATGGTGAAATCACGTCTCTACTAAAAATAAAAATAAAAAATTAGCTGGGTGTGGTGGTGCATGCCCGTAATCCCAGCTACTCAGGAGGCTGAGGCAGGAGAATCGCTTGAACCAGGTAGTTGGAGGTTGCAGTGAGCGGAGATCACAACACTGCACTCCAGCCTGGGTGACAAGAGTGAGACTCCATCTCAAAAAAATAAAAAATAAAAATAAAAGACAAAAAACAAAAAACTTGATGGGTCTGGCATTTTAATTAATCCTTCCCTAAATCCTAATAAAATAACAGTAAAGTTGCTTTTTTTTTTTTTTTTTTCCAATTTTATTTTTTGAGACAAAGTCTTACTCTGCTGCCCAGGCTGGAATGCTGTGACTCAATCATAGGTCACTGCAGCCTCAAACTCCCAGAAAGGGAGAGGAGTCAATAGCAAAACTTTAGACAGATGCTGGAAAACAGAGTGATTTTGTCGTGAAGTAGTAGCTAAGCCAGCAGCAAAGAAAGCTTGCAAGCAACCTGATTTACCCTGAAATTAGTAGCATCATGTACAACTGGGGCGAAAGTGGTACTAAAATTAGGAGGATTATTTGAAGTGAGACTCCAGATCTCTTTATTGACTCTATATATCTTGGCAACTGATCTCCCCCAACCCATCAGAATACTGGAGGTTTCTTTGTTGGAAATGGAAAACAGGTTTTTAGCTTAGAGAACATCTGAGTACAGTTGAGGGCAAGAGTACAGCATTGAAAACAGAGATGAAGTGAAAGTTTAGGGCAAGGTGAGTTGACTCATGCCTGTAATTCTAGTACTTTTGGAGGCTGAGGCTTGAGCCTAGGAGTTTGAGACCAGCCTGGGAAACATAGTGGGACCCCACCTCTACAAAAAATACGAAGATAGTCCCAGCTCCTTGGAGAGAGTTGAGGTGGGAAGATTGCTTGAGCCTGGGAGTTTGAGATTGCAGGAGTCCTGATCATGCCACTGCACTCCAGCCTGAGTGATAGAGTGAGACCCTGTATCAAAAAAAGAAAAGAAAAAGAAAAAAAAAGCTAGGCTCAGTGGCTGATGTCTGTAATCCCAGCACTTTGGGAGTCCCAGGCAGGAGGATCATGAGGTCAGGAGTTTGAGACCAGCTTGGCCAACATGGTGAAACCCTGTCTCTACTAGAAATACAAATATTAGCTGGGTGTAGTGGCATGCACCTGTAGTCCCAGCTACTCAGGAAGCTGAGGCAGGAGAATTGCTTGAACCCGGGAGGCGGAGGTTGTAGTGAGCCTAGATCGCGCCACTGCACTCCAGTCTCAGCGACAGAGTGAGACTCCATCACACACACACAAAAAGTGAAAGTTTATATACTGAGTGGTAGTTTCCAAAACTCCAGCAACAAGGCTTCTGCTTTCCAGGTGAGAGACTGGAAGACTCCTCTGGGGAATTTGATTAGTGAGGAAAGACCTCAGTTTATGAACATCAGTGGTTCTCCAACCAGTGAGTCGGCCAGATCACTTCATAGTGAAACTCACAGTTGGTAAGTCCCAACTGTGTACGTGGAAACTCTAGTCAACTTCTTAGCACCTCACTCTTCTTCTTCTTCTTTTTTTTTTTTAAAAATTTCTTGAGATAGGGTCTCTCTCTTGTCACCCAGGCTGGAGTGCAGAGGCTCAATCATAACTCATTGTAGCCCTGAACTCCTGGGCTCAAGTGATCTTCCTGTCTCAGCCTCCTGAGTAGCTGGGACTATAGATGTGAACTACTATGCCATGTTAAGCAGCCGCTCCTAAATGTCAGCAGAAAGCAAATAAATCTAGGTATTTAAAGAAACTTTTTGGCCAGCCATGGTGTCTCACACCTGTAATTCCAGCACCTTGGGAGGCTGAGACCTCCCAGCACTCAGGTGTATCCTGAGGTCAGGAGTTTGAGACCAGCCTGACCAACATGGAGAAACCCTGTCTCTACTAAAAATACAAAATTAGCCAGGAGTGGTGGCGCATGCCTGTAATCCCAGCTACTCGGGAGGCTGAGGCAGGAGAATGGCTAGAACCCGGGAGGCGGAGGTTGTGGTGAGCCGAGATCATACCACTGCACTCCATCCTGGGCAACAAGAGCAAAACTCTGTCTCAAAAAAAAAAAAAAAGAAAGAAACTTCCTAACATGAAAGAATCCAAACTAAAAAGGGGGAGGTGGGGACAACTATTGAAGCTCTTAGGTAGTATAAAAAAAGGATTGAATCCAAAAAAGCACCCTTGGCCAGGTGTGATAACTTACATCTGTAATCCCAGCACTTTTAGAGGCTGAGGCAGGTCGATCACCTGAGGTCAGCAGTTCAAGACCAGCCTGGCTGTCTCAACTAAAAATGCCAAAATTAGCCAGGTGTGGTGGCACGAGCCTGTAGTTCCAGGAGGAACTGGGAGGCTGAGGCAGAATTGCTTACCCAGGAGGTAGAGGTTGCAGTGAGCTGAGATCCCACCACAGCACTCCAGCCTGGGCGACAGAGCAAGACCTTGTTGGTCTCACTGGTCTCAAACCCTTGACCTCAAGTGATCTGCCCACCTTGGCCTCCCAAAGTGCTGGGATTACAGGTGTAAGCCACCCCACCTGGCCCCAACATAGATTTTCTTTTCTTTTCTTTTCTTTTTTTTTCGTTTCTTTTCCTTCCCTTTCTTCCTCTCCCCTCCCCTTCTCTTCAAGACAGAGCTTTGCTCTGTCACCCAGGCTCAAGTGCAGTGGTGCCATCTCAGTTCACTGCAACCTCCGCCTCCCAGGTTCAAGCAATTCTCATGCCTCAAACTCTCGAGTAGCTGGGATTACAGGTGAGTGCTACCACACCTGGCTAATTTTTTTGTATTTTTAGTAGAGACAGGATTTTGCCGTGTTGGACATCGTGGTCTCGAACTCCTGGCCTCAAGAGATCCACCCACCTCACCATCTCAAAATGCTGGTGTTACAGGCATGAGCCACCATGCCTGGCCTCCAGCATAGAATTCTGCACTCCAGCCATGTCATGTTGAAGGCTAAGAATGCAGTGACTCAACAAAATAGGGCTTGCTTCTCATAAAACAGTTCAATATGGGTAATTCAGTATGCTCCATGGATCACACAGGGACTAGGGCTAGCAGTACAGCTCTGCCATCCTTTAGGGTCTTATACTCAAAAACGTAGTCTCCAACCAGCAGCATTAGCTTAACCTTACCTAGAAGACTGTCAGAAGTGCACCATCTCAGTTCCCATCCCAGGCCTCCTGAATCTGTATCTGTGTTTAAAGATCACTGGTGATTTATAGTCAAGTTTGAGAAACATTGCTCTAGGGAATTGTTGTTTGCCTTGTCAAAACTGGGTTGCTGCCCTTCTTGGGGCGGCTAGCAGGAAGGGAAAAGAGAAAATGTGGAGGAGGCTCAGGGGTCTGGCTAGTAAGTGGCCCATATCATTTCTACTCACTTACCATTGAAAATTTAATCATATGATCTCACCTAACTCCTGGGTCCTGGGAAATCCAT